CTCTTTCTGTTTTTTTTTTTATTTTTTTTATTTTCAATCGCTGCAAAGTTTCAGGCACGCGGAGGCGAAAAAAAAAATAATAATAATAATTTTTTTTTATTCGCATACCGCTTTGGCGTCAGATCCGGAATTTGAATTTATAGTACACAAATGTAAGCGGGAATTTAAATTAAATGAATCACAAAAAAAAAAGAAATTTCCAGAAAAAATGGTAGGAGTTGTTTGTAGTTATAAAAAAAAAAAAAAGAAACAAATTTAATTAATTAATTTTTTTTGCAATTTTTTTTTTGTGAGCAATTCATTATCATTCTTTTTTTTTTTTTTTTATCAATAATAACTTTACTTAAATATGGGGAAAAAATTGATTCGTAAATAAATTATTAAAATAACCATTTCGTGATTAATAATTCCATTCGTGACGAATAGGGAAATCCCCTGGTGGAAGACATTTTGTTTTTTTCAATATATACTAAATTTAAACCACTAAAAATTTTATTTTTTACTATTTTTTTTTCTTTTCTCAATGTAATGATGAAATATTTTCATCTTTAGCCTTGCATTAACATTTTAGGACTTCGCAAAAAAAATTTTTTATTGTGTGCGCGATAAGATGATGTTGGTTAGTTGAAAAATAATAATAATAATAATAATAATAATAATTTTTTACGGATAATTTAACATACTTGACGATGAAACGATCTTGAAAAGTGTAAAAAAAAAAAAAAAAAAAAAATGGTTACAAACCTTATAAAAAATTTGATCATACCTATTTTTTAAAAATTTTACGACGCACTTGAATCAGAATCGACCATCTTAAGAGTTTTTAAAATGTAGAAATTCATACGTTCGTTAAAAATTCAACTCATTAAAATGTTTTTCATTATGGCAATTTCCCCTTCTCCCTCCCTCCCCCCCAAAAAAAAAATTTCAATTTTCTTTTACTATTCCCATTTTTTTTTTTTTTTAATTTTTTTATATTTAAATTTTACGTAATGAAAAATGACCGATTTTGTAAAAAAAAATTTTCCCCCATTTGAAAGTAAAATTAATGGAATAGTAGCCAGTCATTATTATTATTATTATTTTTTTTTTTAATAGAAGTTGGGTCGAAAATAACCGTTAATTTTTATGACGATGAATATACCTACGTACCTACCTGCCTACCTACCTACCTATAAATTTCAAATTTTGTAATAAATTAGTAATATTTTCTTACTCGTCTCGATTTAAAAACTACATTTGACGAATTATTATTATTATTATTATTTTTTTTTAATTTAAGCGTAAAAATTACGAATGATTCACTAAAGTTGAAAAGCTATCTAAATCCGATAAAATATTTATATTAATATATATAATTATAAATAATAATAATAATAATAATAATAAGAACCTGATTTAACACGAAATTTCTCGGAGAGAAATTTTTAGATTTTTAATATATTTTATAAAAATATATATTGCGTTGTAGGTAAAACAAAGGAAAAATAAAAAGAAAGAAAGTAATTTTGCTCCAGGTTAAATAACGTTGTTCTATTAATAATATTTTCTATTAAAAAAAAAAAAAATTATTATTTTTTTCTCACCGTGATAAAAAATAAAAATAAAAATTCGTGTAACCTTTTCACATTGATAATTACTTAATTGAAAGTGGTAGAATAGGAGGGGTAGGGTGGCAGATAATTATTATTATTATTCGTTTCGAAAGGTTAAATTTAAAAAAAAAAAGAAAATTAATTTCCAATTTCATGAAAATTTTATAATTTTTTTTTTTTTTTTATCAGAATAAAAAATCTTTAATGATTTCATTTGTTGCCATTGTTTGGTTTTTTCATAAAATTTTTTCGTTAAAAAAAAACAAAATAATATGAATAAGTTTTCGAATGGTTGTTCGTGCACGTGCGTGTGTGCGTGCGTTCACGTTGCCTTAACAAAAAAATTATTTTTTTTCACTAATTAAAATTGAGTTTGGTTTAACATTATCAGTAACATTAACTTATCAATAAAGCTTAAAAGATTTATTTAATCTGTTTAGCTTACGCGTAGAATGTTGCAGGGAAAAAAAATTAAAATTTAATTTTTGAGTTAGTTATCTTTTAGGGGGGGGGGGAGAGATTATTAGAATTTTTTAATTAGAATTTCCCTATTGGATTTTTCGGCGTTTGCTGTGAAAAATTTGCAAAATTATACTTGCGAAAGTATTTTAAAAAAAAAAATATGGTGACTTGTATTATTCAAAATCTTTCACGTTTACTACTCATTTTTTTTTTTTTTTTTTTTTTT